TTCCCTTCATTGAATTGTCCTTATTTCTACATACTGACTCTGACTTTGGATTCTGAGCTGATCGATTTCTTTTCCAAGAGTGTAGAACCTGACAATATTTTTGGGATGGGCTTCTTTCTTTTCAATGTCTTGTATACTTGTTCTGGTTCCTGCCCCATTTGCTCTGATTCAGGTTTACACTTCCAGTTTTTTATGAAAGAGCCATACATCAACCATCTCAGATACTTCCTTCCTTCCTTTTCCATATGTCCACAAAGGCTTTCTCACTGTCTTTCTCATCCCTTTACCCTCTGTAAGAAACTAAGATCATTCCCTCAAATAGCCATCTCTGCCTAGCAGGTCCAGATCACAAAGGACAGGCCATTCTATAAACACTTCATTAGCCCCCTGGGTATCTCAGACAATGTTCTGTGAAATGATGTTAGGTCTTAGCACATGGAATGATAGGAAACACCCTGAATGGAATTAGACTTTATCACTTAACTTGTGGTGAGCCCTTGAATAAGCCATCCCATTCTTTTGGTCTAGATGATTTCTGAGGTTCCCTCAACACTTATTAATTTGGGTACATGATTCAAGAGCCTTCTCCAGGGCTATGAGAACCTGATTAACTGTTGTCACTGCATTCTCTAAGATTCCTTGAAGACTGCCTTTCAAGTTACTTAACTGTCCAATAGAGGCCTCCAATGTCCCAGGGACAGCATCAAAATATCCTTCTAACAAGTGCTCACTCTGATCCAGCTTAATTCAAACATCATAGAGGTTTATAGAGAGGACAGTCAACAGAATGGTCAGCCAGGTCTCTGAGTCTCTTCATACCCTGACTAACATGGATATACTATACTACATACAAGTTGTTTAAGACTACTTGATGCTTGAATCCACAGGATCATTGCCTCCTTTCAGCTGAAGCCAAGCTGCTTGGAGCATCTCTTTGGGCTTGGCTAGCCAGAGATTTTATTATCCCTGTCTTCCTGTGTTTCATCAGCAGGGAACATGGCCAGGACTTTTGGCTTCACTCACAAGTCTGAACTCACCTACAGATTCATTTTCTAGAATAAAGTTTGACAAACCTTTTCTGTAAAGGACTAGATAGTAAATATTTTCAGTTTTGTAAGCTATACAGTCTATCATTATAGCATGAATCAAATACATTAAATAAGCA